AAAATGGCAAACTCAATTCCAGATTATACGATACACCTTCTAATCGCACTCTTGGATGAACTAAAATTTTGTTCATCGCTCGTAAATTCTTCAAATCATTTCATGAAACTCATACTAGAATTAAAAGATGAATAACAATAGCAGTAATCGAAATAATGAGAAAACAATCCAAAATCTAAATAACAATACAAAGAACTGTTGAAATAATGATGACCTTCCAGTCTCAAGAATAGCGTTTGTAATAGAAACGTTTTCTGCTTCACGATTCTCATACAACTCATCATCATTATTATCCGACTGTTTTGTTGGATCTGATTTATCATAATGTTCTCCTTCATCACCAGGCACTCTCACTACTTGAATCTGAAAAAAAAAGAATATTTTTCAATTCATCTTCGACCAATCAATCATCACAATTCATTACAATGACAATTCTCTGAAAACATTTAGAGATAAAGATGAATAATGACGCATATACAATGATTCAGATAAGTCGAAACAAAATATCAGATTATTCTAAGTCACTGACTTTTGAACTGACATTTGAAACAATTGACAGTTCGAGAGTGGAATTGATCACGCCTCACATAAAACTCAAAAATAAATCCTGAAGGAGACTACTAGCTACTGTCTGTCTACAAGATATACGGTCGAAAACGATTGATGGTCATGATCATTCAGTCGAAAACGTTCGTACATTTCCAAATGTAAAATGACGACCGTTGCTTAGCAGTGGCGTGCTGTTCGCTGTTTCGCTGCTGACGGAACTAATACTTCTTTCGATAGTGCGATAACTCGCTGCTTTTCCATATAGCGGTAACATTATTTATTGGTCAGTTGCGAAGTCGACAGGCAAGCCGCAGAAAAGCAATTCCTATTAGATGAGCCGGGAACCTCATTTGGTTTATCAAAAAGCAAGGAACCAGAATTGTACGCGATACGCTATGAAAGCTATTGAACGTCGGTGCGTTTGCATCGATACGGCTGAGGAGTCAAAAATGGGCCGAAAGCGCCGCTTTTGCGTAGAATATGAGCGATAGAAATATACGAGAAAGATGGAATATTAAAAAGCATTCCGAAGAGCGTGACTCGGAAAGAAGCCGAGGAATAATCGAGTTTAGAAGTATCATTTCATACGTTCAACTCTCAAAAAGCGATTGAGAGAACTGTGTGAAAGATAGTGGTTCAATGTTCCGCATTCACATCCACCTTAGCTCAAGAGCTGTTCTCTCCGAAGAGATCAAGAGGCGATGCAGTGAGTGGCTATAGCGGCGAAAGCAGAACAGAAGTGCTATTGCACGCTTCATGAATTTGGCCATTTCTTTTCTTATCATGAACTCTGCTTCAGTCACAAATTACCTATTGTTGCAAGCTTTCCTCATTTATAGGGCGCATGGCGGTGAATTGAAACAGTAAAGTAGTGTTATTGACAAATTATAACGTGCGCAATCAAAATGATTACAGCGATGTCCAGCGTTTCGGTATTGTGCCGTCTTCAGGAACATCATTTTGAATCAGTTTAGCGTTGGGCATAATCGTAATTATTTCTAACTGCGCAGGTAAATAATTTGTCAACAACACTGCTTTACTCTTTTGATTTCTCCGTTATCATTATTTTGTGTATTCCATGGTGTCTTCCTTAATTGTGTAGTATTACCGTGTTTCATGACGTTTCCATGTTGCATCACTGGTACAGCGCAACATCAACGTAATTCACCTGGAGTCATTGAAAAAAATTTCTTCTTCATAACGACATGAGTGACCGGTCGTTTGAGATATTACGAAAAGGATGCTGAAGGGTGGGACTGGGAACAGGGTGCATTTTTGGACGGGGATTTCGATTTCATGTATGAGATTTGAGATGTTAGAGAATCCCGCAGAACGAGTCTCCGATATCGGACGGCGAGAATGTGAAACTGTCGCCAAAAATCGTTTACCTGTAGAATTGTCGACGTGAATTTAAGAAGCTGAAGAAGTTTCGACAGTGTAACTGGAAAGAGAATCGATAAAAATCCTCCCATGCCTAATAGTGGATTATGTATATGGAACACCTCCCCGGACGGTCAAAATGAGGTTGCTGACCAGTCGAGACCCCCATCAAACATCCTCAGTTGTTAACGCCTCAGCTCCAGCTTCATTATTCAGCAACACTTTTGCAGTT